TTATTCCAAAAATAAGACCTCAAATGGTATCAAAATGTCTCATATCAATCTTTCTGAAGTCATAAAAATGCCAAGCCAGGGTAAATAGGATTTTGTGATTTTGTGTGATTTTTTTTTCTGAATTTATCTTCAAATAATTGGTAACATCTAATTTTTAAAAAATATTTCAGTGTTTTGTTTCTGATGTTGCGCTGTAAAATCTCTAAATATTTGGTAACATCTATTTTTTAAGAATTTTTAAGATGTCTGATGTTGCATTGTAACATCTTTAAATAATTGGTAACAATAATTTTTTTTTAAATATTTTTTTTTCTGATGTTGCATTGTTAAATCTCCAAATAATTGGTAACATATATTTTATAAAAAATATTTTAGTTTTTTTTTCTGCTGTTGCGTTGTAAAAATTTAAAATAATTGGTTACATCAATTTTTAAAAAAATATATTTTTATTTCTGATGTTGGGTTGTAAAATCATCAAATAATTGGTAACATCTTATTTTTAAAAAACTTTTTTTTAATAATTTTTTTAAAATATTTTTTTTTTCTGATGTTGCATTGTTAAATCTCCAAATAATTGGTAACATATATTTTATAAAAAATATTTTAGTTTTTTTTTTTGATGTTGCGCTGAAAAATCTTCAGATATTTGGTAACAATCATTTTTTTAAAAAATATTTTAGTATTTTTTTTTCAGATGTTGCATTGTAAAATCTCCAAATAACTGGTAACATATAATCTTTAAATTTTCTTTTTACTAATTGCATCTCACATTAATAACGTTCCCAGATCAGGATGGTGAAACCAAAAACATGCATATCTTGTTTCTTGCCAGAATGCTCAGAGCAGAGGATCCACTGTCTGCTAGCTAGCTGTCACTGTAATCTGGACAGTACAGAGAAGTGCAAATTTAACAAAACCTTGCTATTTCATCAAGATTGTGTGGCACATCTGAAACCAGTACAAGGCAATGCATATGATGACTGGTGTACTTCATGCAAAAAGCTTTTCACACTCTGCACGATGGGAATCAAAGCAGTTGAATCCCACATGCAGAATAAGAATAGCAAAATCTCCAAGAAATCTCACAGTGAAACGTCAGGTATTTCACAGCTCTGTTCTAATTACTCTTTGCCACAACACAAAAAGTCATGTTTTATGTTACTATAAACACTTATAAATACTAAACTTTAGTAATCAATGCTGGTTCATGTTTTTTGTCTGCAATTTTGGTGTTAAATTTCATTACAAGTGGCATTAAAAAGTCTTAAATCTAACTTTCCTTAACCTGGAAGAAGCCTGATCTCATCTAAATCTAACAAAACTGTTTAAGGATCTGGATTTGTCTGCTTTAAGTTGTTGCTTCCATGGTCATTTAAGGAGATAAACACTGAACTCTGTGTTCTTTTTAGTTTATAGCAACTGTGTTGTGAGACTGTCACAGTCCATGGAAGGTAAACCACTTAACCTGAATTGCTTTTACATGTTGGCTGATGATTACGGAATAATGCGAAGACCAACTCCCAAATCTCACTTTATTATTGCTCCATTAGGCAACACGGTCAGATATTTTAAGGGTTATCAGCTGCAGCATATGTCAAAGCTTATTTCCTATTAAAACCACAAAACCGCACCATAATATAGATCAGACAAGGGAACTGAACATTAGGCATCTGTTAAACTGCATGTTTCCTTTATTTTTATATGGTTCATCTGCTCTCTGCCAAGATTTTTTCCCCACCTGTTCCTGCAGTTTTGACCGTAGAACCCGGCAGGACATGGTTCCCTGCAGAACTTCCCACGGTACCCTGGGGTGCAAGTACACGAGCCGTCGGCCTGGTTGCACTTGCCGTGGATGCACTGGCAGTACCGTTCACACCGTGGGCCCCACAGCCTCTCCCGGCACTGGCAGCGCCCCGTGAACTGGTCGCATGGTGAATTGTTACAGTTACACTGGATTGCACAGTTCCTCCCCGTCCAACCTGGATTGCACATGCACCGTCCTGTCATCGCATCGCAGACAGAGTTGATGCTGCAGTAGCAGTTGTTGTTGCACTGGGGACCCCAGACGCCAGGGTGGCATGTGCATTTGCCAGTGTCTTGGTCACACTTGCCCTTTTGGCATAAGCAAGCGTTCTCGCAGTTAGGTCCCCAACGGTTGTGGTTGCAGGTACACTGGCCGGTCAAGTCGTCGCACTGGCCGTTGGGGTAACAGTTACATTTCCCCTTGCAGTCAGGGCCCCAGAACTGGGCAGGGCACTCTGTGAAAAGACAGTGCAGTGATCAGGACATGGGAAGATTTCTTCTGAATTGTCAAACAAGAGTAAGAGTCTACAGCCATGCCAGTCGCTCTGTGAGGCTGATCTTAAGCACAGCAGTGCTTTGAGCTAAATGCCATCATGATAACGACACTCAATAGGGGGCTGCCCATTGTTCAGACGGCCCATCAATCTGAAGCCCCAGTAGTCTGAGAAGTGTCCCATTGGACCGAAAGCTCATTTGTATGACAGCCAGTTATCCTGTTTCTCCACTGGCACTTTCCAAAACATAAGCACATGGCTGATAATTGTGCAAAATGATGTTACCGGAACTTATCCACTAAGGTGATGGCATGACCCACCATACTTGACTTCTGATTCACTAGTACTTGTTGCCTTCATTGGTTGGGTTGGTTAGGTCTAGGCATGAGGGACTGGTTAGGTTAGGGTAAGAATATCAGAGTAAGCCGATCAGAGACAGAGTAAGGCGGGTCATATCTCCGCCACTGTACAAAGGTGCGATGACTAACTGGCCATGTGCTTCTGTTTGAGAGTGTGTGGCCTATTTTCTGAGAAAGCTGAGCAATGGGCGTTTGTTTTCGGAATAATAAGCTGTCGTACAAATGGGCTTTCTGTCCAGTGAGTACAGATAAAGCCAGATGTGGCACTGGATTATGATGATTTGCTGATGGTATGTTGGGTTTAATGTTGATTTGTCTGTGTACTATGTTGTATGTTGTATTTCTATGGCTGCAGCATGGGTGTAGGGCCCAAGACAAATTTCCCACTCTGTGGAACGATAAAGTTAATCTCGATCTTGATCTTGATTGATAGGAACGTTTTCTGAACTACAGAGGCTTCGCAATTATGGACCGTCAGAACAATGGCATTGCACTCGTCAGTGCTAACATGCTGTATTTTTGAAGGTCGCCTTCTTTGTTTCCTATGGTCACCATCTTTGTTTAGAGTGTTAGCTAATGTATCAGAGGGCTAAGGCTGATGGGAGTGTGACTGGGTATTTGCTCATAAACACAGGTATTTGGCAAGTTAAGTTTTTGGCCTGATACTTGCACAAGACGAAAAAGGATCACTAAAGTTTCTACAGTTTATCTTGAGGGGAATATAAACGTGTATTCCACATATTATGGCAATCCATTCAATAGCTGTCACATTTCAGTCAAAACCACAAATGTCAACCTGCCAGAAGGGCTGGAGGAAAAGTCACAGGGACACCAAAGTATTCAAGACTCTGGGCTTCATGGATATGGCTGTAATATGTCATTGCAATCCAATGGTTGTTGAGATATTTCAGTCTAGACCAGCTGACAGATCAGCATCGACATCCCCAGAGCTGCTAGCATGGCTAAAAACACCATGTGCAGTAATTTCCCCTCATGCAACAGTTTCAGATTTTTAATGAGAGCTAAAAACTGTGTTCAAATGTTGAAATATGTTCTAATGATTTGACCTTTGAAAGACCAGAGACAAAAGACAAAAAGGTAGAAATGCAGATACAAGGTAAGAAATCCCTTACTAGTGTCACAGCTAGCTCCAAAGTATCCATGGCGACAGCGACATTCATTCGGCCTGACACACACCTCATTTTCCTTGCAGGTGAAGTTGCCTTCGCAGAGAGCTTGGGGGTGAACAAGAACAGGCCGTATTATTCATGCGGCTTGCACAATGAGCTATACGACACGTGCTGATAAATGACCTCTGTATGGTACATACGTGTCAGGCATTCATCCCCTAGCTGCCCCCATCCGCTGCAGCACACGAATCCTGATGATCTGGAAAAGAAGTTACGAGACTGAGAGTGAGAGGGGAATGATGAAGAACCTGGCTGTAATACAATGAAACAAACACATATCAAAGTGGCAGCGTACAAACCCAACTCATGCCTCTTTGATCTCACAGGTTTTTAATGATGTGGCTGATGCCAAATTCTGCAAATGTATGCGAGGCATTGTACATGACGCATGTGCTTCAAACATGTTTGTATAATTATCTGAATGTGGGTCATTCCCAGCTGTATATGGAACAAAATAAATCCCTTTACCGCTGAATCTATGTAGTTTATCTTTCTCTAAGTTTCCTCAGCTGTTGGGGAAATGTGAATATTCAGAGACAATATTTTGCAGCCAAGTTTTAGGCCAGGCCTGTCAGGAAAAGGACGGATGCGTCTCCTCTTCCTCCTACGCCTGTGACCTCTGTGGGGCCCCTGCAACACGTCAGCTTCCCCTTAAGTGTTTGAAGATGGCAGTTTGCTTTCAGTCAATGAGCAGGGAGCAACAGTGTTTTTTTATGCTGCCAAAACAGGCGCGTGGTAGAGATCACAGGTCTGAGCTCTGAATGCTTTCACTTGTTATGGGAGGAAGATGATTTTAAAATGAGCCTTTAACCATTTTAGGTACATAACGCTGCACTGGATTCAACTGTGGTGCGTCAGCTTTGACAAACTCCGGTCAACATGTATGCAGTTGACCCTTGTTGACCTTTAACACCCAACCAATCCATGTCAGCACCAGGAAGAGAGATTGCATTCACTGTTGTGCAGAATTAATTAGATGTTAAGAAGTGACGCTGTGTTCCTGTTTGCCTTTCATTATTACATAAAGAAAGTATCAGCTACCTTTGCCAAGAAATTCAATAGCTGCTCTCTAACTGATTCAGAAAGCCATTTTTCTGCATCGGCGCTGAAAGCATCGCATTCAAGTCGCAAAAACTAAGAACATAATGGGCATAATGGGAAAAACAAGTGAGTGGTGAGTGGGGACTTCACTGCAGTGAATACTGAATACTGGGAGGGGGGCAAAATGTCAAACTTGTCGAGAAATGAAGGCCAGTACTATATATATCAAACTGAAAACTTCACCAAGCACTAAAATGGGAAGTAGTTCTCTAGTAAATGGCTATTTGTTGGCCAGTGAAGCGTCTATGAGATGACAGCACAACTTCTGAAGAGAAGCTCTTAATTACTTTACGTTTTACTCTGACTGCATGAAAAGATTCAGTGTCGGGCTTTTCAGATGAGCTATTTTCAGCTTTGCTCCCAAAACTTAGACTGCTCATGTTACAGGGTGCAGTAGATACAAAGCACATGATTTCTTATCACACATCTGTCATGGCGAGGCGGTCATTATGATACAGAACAGGGGGCTCTCTCTGCTCTCAATCAAATGCTCCCCCTCCAATGACAAATCTTAAAGCATACATGTTTTCAATGGCCTTTGGTTGTTTGTTATTCTGAACTTGATTTGATTCAACTTATGTTAAAGTCTTTATTACGTTATATTTGTCACATAGCCCACGTGAAGTCTGAGTAAAGTGTCAGTCGTTTGTGTTGCCCTGCATGTATAGTTTATATGGACAGTAGTAGTTTCCAGTAGCTGTACTATGATCGATTATATGATATAATGGGAAATGAGTTTTCACATATCATATATTTCACAATATATTCTGGGGTGGGGTCAGGGGGCAGATCTAGTCCCCTCCCCTCCTGTTGACTGCATGGCTACGGCCTTGTTCTATGCCTGTGTCTGTGTATTTAGAAGAATGAGCCCTGGAGTGCTTTCGCTGTTTCTTGCCTACCACAATTCATAGACACCAGTCCAACAAGCTTGGATGCTGCAGTCAGCAATTGTGGACTTGGATGTTTTTCTTTTTCACTCGACATCCACAGACTCAGCTGTAATCCTAGAAATCTTTTTTTTTTTTTTTTTTTTGATGATTTTTGGATACCGTAATAGGTTAGAAGAGATACCTGCACACTAATGCAACTGGGCTGGACAGCCACAAAAAAAGGTTCACAGGGAGAGATCAATGCCAAAAAATGTCATTCAGAACATCCAACATTTCAGTCGTTGACTATCATCAGTGCTACTGACATGAGTGCTTCACAGAGCAGATATAGACACAGACAGGTGTGATGAATCAGTCAGCTGGTACCACTTATTAGATGAGATCAACTCCGAGGAGCAGAGGCCTGACTCCCAAATCACAATGATCTGTCCTATGAGTGTTATACAAATCACAACATCCTTAAATAACAATGCATGAAAGCAGAACATAATATACAAATGTACAAAAAACACAACTATATAATAATAAATAAGAAGAATAAATAAAAACTAATCAATAAATCTTTATTTCTGTGAACATTTGTGTTTTTTAGACATTCGTATATGTGTACAAAACACAACTGTATGCAGAAAGTAAAAAAACTAAAACTAAAATCTAAAAATAATATATAAAATAAG